GTGACGATGCTGAAGAACGAGCACATTCATGTGTCTACCTCATGATGTGTTCTCTCCTCAGAAAGCTTCTCCTCCATGGGAGACTTATCCCGGGAGCCCATTAAACGGGCTGAGTAGAACCTGGAGGTTTCTTCAAAGTCCTCCCGGCCCACCTCTGGCTGTTGATCCCTCTCTCCCAGCTCTGACATGCCTTTAGAAAAGTCCTCCACGCCTGAGTGGAGATCCGTGAGGATGGTGAAGTCCACCTCAGCCTCCAGGCTGGATGTGGAGCTGACCGTCATACTGGAGCACTTGCGTTCAATGCCTAGATGGGTTTCCCTCATGCAGGCCACCGTGTCCCGCTCCTGCTCCTCTTCTGTGGCTACGCTTGGCTGGGGCCTCCTGTCCCCCAGCTCATTCTAGGGCGGGTACAGACACAGGGAGGACCACACTGCATTTACTTAACTGTAGTCAGACGGGTGAGGATGATGAGAGCATCATCTTTATGTTGAAAGTGGCTGGTATTCTGGTTTCCAAATCAACAACCTTGCTTATGCAATGGATTCAGTTATACAGTATATGAGACATGCAACAGTGTTAGAACTAAATAGTCGAATGGCTGTGTAAGATGATGAATATGTTTTGAATTACACCAGTGGCTCCGAACCTGGAGGTTTGGGCACCCAAAGTGTAGATAAAAGAAAGAGAAAGAGAATGAGATACTGTAGGTCTACTACACAAAGTTTTTCTGATGTTTGTACCATTTTTGTGAATTCATTTATTTTTTTTTACTGCAACTACATGAGGGAGTAGCTACATCTTTTTATGATTGCACCTAAATTCTTTCTAACAGTAACTAGTTATGCAGACCTCATAAAGTGACTTGAAACAAGGGAAAAATATGTTTTGCTAAACTGACATGCAACAAGGGGTCAGAAGTAAAATAGCTCTGTTGTAAAGTTAGGAACCATTGAAGCTCCTGTAGAAGCTGACTTATAATAATGACAAATTAAATTAGAAGTCCACTTCCAAACAGACCACAATAAAGAAGAGGTTCTGTTTTCAACCCTCACATTCAATTCTGTCTCTTATAATGGCAATAACTGAGTGCAGATGAGTAGCCAGCAAAATGTAACACTTCACGCTTTTAGCTATTTTTAATGCACTGCATCAGGTGAAATTGGTGGAGTCATTTACCGTAGGAGGCATGCAAATAATAGGAGGAGCATATGAAGGTGTGTTTAAATACAAATGAATAACCTTAAAATCAGCAAATGGCTCCTCATAGATGGCAGGAGTAGAGACAGGCTCCTGCAGGGGGAAGCAGAGAGAAGAGTACAGAGAGCACCTGAAGGTTAGCACAGGCCGAAGTGCACGGTGGACTGACAGACCAGCACACAGACAGAAATCCTAGCAGCAGAGCCGTACTGGGGCCTGAAAATATTCACTCAGTGTGTTCTGAGCACAGCATATTTCAGTCCAAACCTAAACTGGGATTCTGGTGTGCTGCTCAGAGTTCTGCTCAAAGTCCAAATCTGAGTATAGTCAGAAAATTGTTCATAAATAGCTATTAATGCAGTATTTATAATGGCTTTGTCATTCAAACCCAAGTTTAGGTGAGAAATTTAGCCGGATCCAGGCTAAGCTCGCTGGGTCTGGCTAAATTTCAGGCACAAATTTCAAGCACTGCTCTACAGTAACATTGCATACAGCAGTGACGTGTGGTGAGGTTGACAGCAGGTGAGGCACTGACTCTTTTACAGCCAGATTTACAAATACAAATGAACTGTTAACAAATTGTCTGTTAACAGACAATGCGTTATATTTTATATCGCATATCAGCATTCTTCACACAAACGTGACCCATATTTAATTTGAGGTTAAAATTTATTCCAGTTAAGCTTATTTCTAACTAGAAATAATAAAAGTTTATGGTCTTACTTTTACTTGTACACAAAATCCATTTGTCAGCTGATATGTATTACAAACCCTTTTACCGTTCGAATCCAATATTAAAACAAATGTTTTCAATAAAGAAGATCCTTCTGGACAAAAATGTCCAGACTGTCAAACATGTTTTGATTGAAAGTCCAGATTTACGAATTTTCTCATCTTGGAAATGTAATCTTCCATTTTGATAAGGCGGATTGTAAAGGAAATATAAACAAGCACGAAGAAGATTGAAGGTAGCGCAAGAATCTGTGGGCTCACTAGCGCCCTCTGCAGAGGACCTCTATTTGCGACATATAGACGGACAGCGACACACTATTTGCATTGCATACAGTTTGTGAGGATTACACGATCCACCGAGAGGCACAGCAAAGTGCTGCCTCATCGCGCATCTCCTCCATGTATTTGAACCAGACATACAGGAATTCTGCTATTCTTTATTGAAAAAAATTCTTTCAACATCAGATTTGAACGGCAAAGGGGCCTACAACACACACCAGCCGACAATTATTAACATTTATTATATTTTACGGTTAACTTTTTTTTCTTTTCAAGATTGACAGGGGAGGCTCTGCTTAAACATCAGCTGTTCTGGACTATGTGCAGTTCTGTACTGATGCTGTCCTACCTACAAAGTCCATCCGGGGTTTT